TATAGGTTGCATAGTTGTAGGGGCTTGGGATTTTCTGCTTTGACTTTCCGAGTGAGACACAATAAGCGTCGTATTCTGGTTTTGGGAGTATTCCTTGGACCAATCCCTTTGAAGAATATCTATTTTTCGGGACCTCGTTATCTATTCCTCTCCTTCTGCCTTTGTTTCCAAGATTTTGCTCCTTACTTGAACGACCTGGGTTGCTACAGATAGCATATCACACATGAACCAGTCACGACTACTGCCAACTTTATCTCTGAGCTTGCTGTTACACAATCCCTTACCAAACGCTTTTATAACCTTCTTCAAAATATAGCTCTCTACTTGACTCTTTATTGTGCCGTCTGTCACATCAAATGCTAGGAGAATATTGAAGGCCCGAAAGGGGTAGGCTTCGAGTGTTTCGTCTTAATCTTGAGCTTAATCTTCAACAAGTTCATCCGGAACCACTTTCTTCACCTCATTGGCTGGAAAATGCTTCAATAAGTGGAGCTCAATATATTTGATGTCTTCCATTGATATAGCTTCGACAAATTGTGCAGGTGTCCATCCAACACCAGATTCATTGAAAGCGTCATGCAGTAAGCGGAAAAATCGCTCTGTCTGCGTGCCATCAAACAACTCGACAAAATCTATATTAACTGTGGCCATTTTTGTAGTCATAATTGGAACTATGTGGAGGATATGCTCAAGAGATCGAGAACAAAGACTGTGTGGCTTGATAGGCTAGATGGGTAGTTCCTGGATCCTGAAATTAAACTTGGTAGCTTCTACAGAATTAAAAATTCCTCAGATGATGCTGATGGGCTATCCAAGCTAGCAGTCTTCAATGAGCGTGTCCTTGGAAAGTTAGCCAGGACGATTAGAAAGGACAAAAAAATATAAGATAAAAAAATAAAAACTGTCAACTCTCAGATTTCTTGTAGTTTATCTTAAACAGGAGTCCTATGTACTGTTAGTTATACCAAAAATGACTGTCCAAGGATTGATCTTAGTTGTGCAAAGATGCGTTTCTAATTTTGTAAACCGTACTTTGCAGATGAAGATTTTTGCAAGAGATATTATTCTGCACCAAAGAAGGAAGCTTCGATCGCTAATTCTCTTGAAGAAGAATGACTGTATTTTCGTGAGTCAAGTGATTAAATTGACAATTCGATGGTATGTTGCAGGTTGTTCCCGGAATCTTGCCTCCAGTCCTAAAGATTTTTCTCACGAAAACTCGTTCAACAGCATGTGGGAAACTGGGCGTTATCTAACTTCGTTGCTTACAGCTTATTAACACTACCACTTGAGAGTTTCCTACGTATATCACCAGAACTACGTTAGGGATCGGAGCTGTGGGAGGTCGCAAGCGCTCTATTGTTTTCTATCTACGACGCGCACATACACAAGGACCGCGCTAATAGTTCTAATTACATGACCACATTACGTAGCCCGCTACATATCTGTTGAAGTTACGGTTTGGCTGTTGTTTAAGCTTAGGGGGAAACCTAATTGTTTAATTAGGGATAATTGCAATAAGACTGAGAGAGGAAGGATGGACAAATATTGATGAAATGGCACTACTAGCCAGGAGGTCAAAGTAAAATCATAGCGTAATGGCTCCTGATAATACTTGGCTCAGTAGGAAGTATTAGGCCTAGGGAAAGTTATTAGTCAGCAGATTCACGGAGCGGAGTAAATGTTATAAGTACCTGTTAGCACTAGCCAGAGATTTCTCTTCTCTTCAAATAGTTTAATAAATTGATCTATTCATGACCAACTTGGCTTCTGTCACAGTTGAAAATTAAATACCTGTAACCACAAGTGTTGGTATGACAGGGTCAATTTCTGTGATATCACAGGTAATTAGAATGGGGTTTGCTACTGCAGAAGCGGTGACTGATTAACGTGCATATATATATAGATGTCTATCTGTGGACGCCCCTGAAGCGTTGATAAAACCTGAGTCCACTTGTGAGCCTAAGGCATGAATCTAAACCTCAGGCCTACCAGAGCAAGTGCTCCTACACTGGCAACTTTCTCTTTACATAGCAAATTGCCAACCTTTTTTGGTATCAATTACATTGTGATCTTAAAACCCACAACTCCAACCATCCCATGAAAACTATACCGTAAAATACTCAAATGTAGGAAAATAAGATAGTGTTTTCAACCGCACTCTTCCCAAGATCAATTCACTCCCATAACTCCTTATTCATTGCCTCATTGATCTGTCAATTGGTTTTGGCTTTTTCAACCCAGCCTTGCACAAGCAAGGTCATCTTGTTGGTGTTGATGAGCTTTTCAAGAGTTCTGTTGGCTGCTGATTTGGTCATTGTGTCGGCAGGGTTATCCTTACCATTGATCCATCGAGCCTCGTGGACTTCACCCCTCTCGTAGCTCTGCCGCAGCGCCATGATATTGATTATGAGGCGTTTCTCCTTTGTGATGCCAAGCTTGACGAGACACTCGTACAGCGACCTGCTATCAGTGCAGACAATTATGGGGATGTGAGGGATATCAAGATTGTGGACGGTGCCAAACTTATTGGCAATATTTTTAATAGTTCCTGCAATTGCTACAGCCATATCAACGCTGTGAGCCATTGCGTAAATTTCTGAGGCCAGAACGCTGCCTGTGATGCGTTTGCACTTTGTGGACAACCAGTGAATGATATTGCCGGTCATCTCAAAGCTACCATCTAGGTCCTCCTCGCTGCCGAGCACAATGATGTAGATGATCTGCGAATTTAGGTCCTTGTTGTTGGCAAATGACGCGTTGACAAACACAAAGAGTTTCAAATCTCCCAAATTCAACAGCACATAATGCAATCCCCTAGTAGTATTTTCTTTCTGCCATTTGAGCCGTTTGTTCAGCATTGCTATGTCAGCACTATTTGGTTCCTTGTGTTGTGCTGCGGCCGATAGGTCAAACGAGGATTGGTTGGCATATTGTGGCAATGTAGGCTCCTTTTGCCCTCTGCTGCATGTACGACTTGCTGTCTATTGCCGGCGCATCTTTGTCGGCCTGGTTCTCTTGTTGCAGCACTAGGTCATCACCCTCCAGTGCCAGTTTGCATCCCTTAAAGAGGAGAGGGTGGTCCGCTGTCAGGAACTCATTTGGTTTTGTCTTGAAGGTCAAATTTCGATCCTCGGTCTCCGCAAAAGCCTCATCACTTTAGCCCAACATGTTGTTAGTCTGCATTCCAACTATTCCAAACGACGGTGCATTCTTTGTGGTTACCAGAAGGCAGGGATCGAACGTCGACGTCTCCATAAACAGTTTCTCACAGTGATGGCGAAAGTATGTAGCCCACCAGTGTGTTCCAGATTCTGCCAGTCTGTATAGAGGCTCGATGATCGTCATTTTGGTGTTTGTAGGGAGCATGTGACGTATCTGGACTAGGATTTCCGCAATGACCTGTTGCTGGAGTGGGGTTTCTGACTGCACTTACGCCTGTGTGATGTCTCGGAGCCAGACAAATAATGTGGTCGATCTACATAAGGTTGGCATGAGCGCAAGGATGATACGCTGGCTAGCCCGTTGTATGGTGGGGCTCTGCGTAAGCATTTGCTGTTTCTCCATGTTGTTGTAACCTATTACAACAAGTCGGGACTTTTTGTATGGTTTGTCTGTCCCTTTTCCTTTAATTTCGTGGACCAACCTTGCCTTGAACCTGGTTGATTTACCATGCTTTGCTGTATCACATGTCTCGAATCTGAAAACGCCGTTACCAATGAGTGCTTCGATTTCTGCTTGATCAGATAGCTCGAACAGAGCTCCTGGAGTAATTATCTTCCCTTCCTTGCGTAGCGTCACGGCTAGAGCTGAATCGGCCTTCTCTTTATCACTTAAGAAAATGCTGCCATTATATTGTACCTCTAGATTTGGAGAAAAACTTGGCTTGCTCTTGGATCCTTTCGGTCGACCTCGTTGGCGTGGCGCTACAGAAACATTTGCTTCCGGGTTGTACTTGTCATTGTTCTTGCGCTGTAATTCCTGACCTTCTTCTATCAACAACTTAGCTGCTGGGATCTCGGTATTTTTATTCTGATAATAGAGTTTGACTAATGTAATCCGGAAGATAACCGGTGTGTTGTTGATCTCGACGGTACATGCCGTATTATCATTGTTCCGTGCAAGAAGCTTGTGAAGTCCAGTCCAACCAGCACCTTCCCTCCACACGCCAACATCGCTCGTGAGAGGTAGCTGTAATGTATCAAGGATGTTAGGCCCATTTTGCATGCCGAGAGCATCTTCCACTTGGCGTTTGGCCTTGAGCTTTCGAATCTCAGCCATCGCTTTCTTCACAGCCTCAGCGCACTAGATGAGGCCTATAGATGGCGGGGATGTCTGAGTCATTTGTGGGTACGCGCCGAAGACTAACAATGTCGGGACAAGACCGTCTGGGCCCGCGGTATCATTCACCGCTTTCACAGTCAATTGGAGGACGTTCTCTACTGCCAAGTTGGGCAACTCAATTGCCAAGATTTCGTGTGCTCGCTTTACCGGTCTATGGTATTTCTCGACCTTACCAATCGAGTGATGTGCTTCGATAGGAACTTCCTCCACTTTGATGTTTAATAGCCGTGCGTTGTCAACAAACTCGGCAGCCTTTAGGTTGGTTCCTGCATCCGTGATCAGAAAGTCTGGAGGTCCAAGGTAAGTGTGAATCCACATAGCTCGCAGTGTCTCCCAGGTCGTCTTGGAAGTCATGTTCAGTAGAAATTGTGCTGCTTGAAACGCTGTTGCTTCGTCGACTGCGTGAAGAACTGGCTTACCGGTTATGTACATGACGTCGACAATCAAACAAAAATTGAAGTCTAGATCTTCTCGCAACGTGAAGCGAAACCGGCCAGGTGCTTTCGAGTGGATCTGAAATTGGTGACAGAACTTGTTGATATGCTTTAAGGCATCCTCGTTGACGTCCTCGTATCCAGCGCGCAAGAGTAGCTTGCTGAGTCTATCTACTGCCGGGTGACCGAATCGTCAATGGAGCTGCCGAAGCTCGGTCTTAGTCAGATGGCATGCTGCTGCTGTGGTCGTAGGTCAAGGAGAAAGAACGGGTGCCCCAATTTACGCACAACGGGGTACATCTCCTGCTTATTCTTGTTGTTTGTATGGACGAGTACGTTTCGCGTGTTATCCAGGAACACGCGGTGTTTATCCATGTCAGTTAAGCATATGAGAAATGGGGTATTTGCTTTAACAGCTGTAAACTTTATTGTGCCAAACGGGATCTTTACCTCGACTGTTCCCAGGGTTGCCACGTGGGGGTTGTCACTGAAGGTTATGCGATGGGTGCCTACTGTCCTAGTGTCCATTTTGAGCTCTGGAATGATCTTTCGGAGAGCCTTAACTTGGCTTTCTCCAGCTGTCAATACTCCAGCGGCTCCTATGTCAGGCAAAATCCCCTGGAATATCTCCGAATTGTAACAGCTGCCGAATTGAAACACAGAGCTTGGCTCTGATTGGGCCCGTTTAAATGGGTCATTGCCTGTTAGGGCATGTATGGCCGCTTGATTGTTGAGCAGGATAGCCGTATTCTGTCCATCAATGGTCCTGTAGCTGGTGTTGAACTGTTCAATCTTGTCTTCTGACCACGTGTTGAACATGTCAATAAGGTTACTTTCACCGTCATTTTGGTTCGCCTCGTAACCTTCATAGTCGATGATGAATATACCCAGGGTATTGTTGTCGTTCGGGAGTTCGTTCTCTGCCATGTGCGTCAGCCAGTTCTTGATCCGTCCCTGACGTTCGCTTGGTGTGTGCCGAGTGGACCAGCATCCAGCCTTTTTGCACACGAAGCAGATCTTTTGGCGGTCGTTATTGCTGCCGAATCCACCATGAAATCCACCTCCCCTAAAACTTCCTCGGCCACCTCTTCCTTGAAATCTCCCTCTATTGTGGCCTCCTCTTTCTCTGTACCTGCGGTTGACAAAGTACTGTCCATTGTTATCTTCTTCGTCATTGTTGTATTCTACTTCCTGATGAAATTGCTCTGTATTCCGTGGTGCACAGTCCATAAGGATCTTGACAGTAGACCGTAGCTCAGCGCAGGTATTCTCGAATCCGTCGTGGGGGCGGATGAGTGCTTGTGCGCAGGCTGATACGCCTTGACATGCAGCGTACAGCTGTCCGGAGAGGCTGTGGCTTTTGTGACCATAGTTACAACTGAGAGTTTTGTAGATCTTTTGGAGTTTTTCGATAAACAGGTCAAGACATTGGAGGGTGTTCTTTTCGGGATTGTCACTAATAAGCTTGAGAAGGGTGAGAGCTCGCCATTCTGTCAGGTAATTCTGCTCTTCTATCTTCATGTGAAACCTTTCCTTTGTTTTGTGGACCATCTCATCGAAAGTCAGGTTTTTAAGGTGCTCAGCAAGGTGCCTGAAGTAGTAGTCGTGGGCTGCGTCTCGCAGCATTGTCGAGAACGCATTCTTAAACTGATTTTCGCCAGCCCCGGTGATTCAGCACTTTTTGAAGAAAATTCTCAGCTTGTTTTCGAGCACCTCATGATGCTTGGCTCCAAACTTGTCCTGAGGGTTGACATACAACTTGCCGAGATCCATCAGCGCTCTCGAAATACTGGTACCTTCAGTAATTGTTCCTTTTGCCCAGTCCGGGATGTATGTCTTCCCAGATTCATTGTCCGAATCGGCCCCCTTGCTGCTTCTTTTCTCTTTCTTTCCCTTAGGTTCCTTCTTCCTGATGCTTTCGCTCTCGTTATCAGAATCGTCGTTGCTATTGCCTTGATCAGCAATATAATTGATATTTTTATCTCTTTCACCTTTGAGCGGGATATTTTTGCCCTTGTCAGCCTTCTTGCATTTCAGGTTCGTAAATCCACTCTCATTGTGATCGCTGTTGTCTGTCGCGCTAGCTGCACTCCGTATGCCTCTGTTGAAGACGAGTGACTGGAATTCCTCGCCGTATCCAATTATCTGGTCGAGTTCGCGCTTTGACTACTTAGGCAAGTTGTTGACATCGCCATCGAGCAATGCTGCCAGCTGCTACGCGATGGTCGCCCGTTTGTTATTCTCGCATCCTACGTATATCCCTCTGAATATGAGGAACATCTTAAGCCTTCTGAGGATTGGTTGATAGACCATGGCAAATATGTCAGGAACCCATTTGGCAAAGTCCTCTCGGAACATCTCAAGGAGTATGTAATCAATGTAGCCTTGATTGTAATTGTCGATCCATGAGATTATGGTCAAGTTCAGTTCCGTAATATTGTCTCTCTCAATATCCTTCCCTCCTGTATCCTTTTACGTAATGTGCGGCTTTACCCAGTCGGCCTGAGGAAGTCCTACAAACTCTGGTACCTTAGTATGGCTCATCTTGTCGATTCTAGCGGGGTCTTGGACGCCGGAAAGGCAGTGATATCGACTTATGATACGGTGCCTCGATCTTTACACTACCGGAACCCAACTTGTGGGACGGGCAGTCGCTTCCTATCACAACCTGGTCGAACTTGACGATGGGATCGTCTTCCTATGAAGTACCTAGCTGTCTGTGCTTGCTGTCAAGTCAAGCACTGATCAGTGTTGGTATGACAGGGTCAATTTCTGTGATACTACAGGTAATTAGAATGGGGTTTGCTACTGCAGAAGCGGTGACTGATTAACGTGCATATATATATAGATGTCTATCTGTGGACGCCCCTGAAGCGTTGATAAAACCTGAGTCCACTTGTGAGCCCAAGGCATGAATCTAAACCTCAGGCCTACCAGAGCAAGTGCTCCAACAACAAGGTTGCCCAAATGCCTGTACTTAGACTGTGACACCTGTTTCATTGTTATTGTACAATTTTTGTAGCTTTCAGTTCATCAAGATCGGCCTACGCTAGGAGGGCCAAGCGCTAATCTATTTGGCTCATCCCTTGGTAACTTAATTCCTATAAAAATTGAGAGTCAAGTCCTAAGCAAGTTGTTAATAATTTTTATAAAATACAGAAGACTTTAATGGATGCTAAATTGAACCAATCAAGGAAAACTAGGGATGACCTAGTTCATTTATATTTACATATTTCAAAATATTTGTTTCAATGTTTAAAAGATAGAAAGGAGTTCAAGAATTTTTTTGTTTTTTTCCAAATGTAGCTTGGCCCTGCCACACAAACGAAATTAACCTGAAACCCCTCGAGTCCAAACCAGTGTACCGATAATAGTAATAGTAAAACAAAGGGCGATAACTAGACTAGCTAGCCCATATAAATACGCAGACTTTCGAGGCAAATTTGTCAACTCTGCAACCCATGTGCTGACAGTTGTTAGGCACCCACAAAAACCATCTTGCACCCCTTGAAGAATCCGATTTTGAAAGGTATCAAAAATTGCTAGGTGTTGAAGATCATAAGCCACGGCGAGAATAGTAGTACCAATGATGTTGACGAGAAATGTAGCGAGGGGAAAGTTTGCAAGCCGATTATTGAGATGAAGAGAGGTATAGTGGCGAGTCAAACATCCGAGTGGCGCAAAAACGAGCGAGAAACTAAGCGCTTCGAGCCCTTCGTTCATCTCTTTGTCAACACGATTCGGATGAGAGATTACAAGAATAATCAGACTTAACCATATTACCCACGCTATCACGGCGACACAAGGGTCGAAAAATCGAGTCATAAACTTATATGATGCACTGGGCATATATGGCTCAAGCAAGTCGGCCATGTGCTCGCCAACATAGAGTGCGCATATAGAAATTGATATGGTTACAATTATCACAGCAAGAAGTGCCATTACAGAGTGACCAATCTCGTGAGAATCCATCAGAGTAGGCGATACACCAATAATTGCACTACCAGATGGATGTAAATTGTTTGTAAGCCCAAGAAATGCATCACGTAAAAAGGATGAGAAAGAGGTGCAACATCCACAAAATCCCGTTGTAAGTCCGATGTAAAGCGGGATTCTTTTCTTCATAGCAAGATGGACTTCTTTGGCAGTAGCTGTGTCTAAGCCATGACTCTGGGCGTCGGCCTCTTCTCTCCCCGTTCTTTGCGGTTCTCTCCCATTTACACTGTTCACTGGGAACTCCAATCCACGCTTAAAAATCTTGGAGTCTTGAATCAAAAAGCCGATGATTGCTGTTCCAGCTAAGTTAGTCCACACCCCCCCAAAGGCTACGGGTGCACCAGAGAAAGAAGTGAGCGCTTGTAGGCCGAGTCGGGCTAATGTGCCTAAGAAAGAAAAAAAAATAAGGTAGGATGCAGTAAAGAAGTGGACACGCCACCTGGATAGCGCACCAGAGTGATGTTTTTCTAGTCGTTGATGAATAATAGCCTCTGAGGGGATTTCTGGAATAACGTCATGATCGAGTCTTGTGGAATTGTCAAGGTTGCTATCTTGCTATGAGTTAGGCTCTGTTAGCCCTAATCAGACCTTGAAACCATTTAAATCACCTTCAGCAGAGATTTAACTCTACTTGTCGTGTTTTTCATAGATACATCAATGACTGGCATCTCTTGAAACGGGTGTAACTCAATCTGCTCAGAGTCCGGATTACACCCCGTGGGGTTGTGGCAGCAATCAGCCATAGGCCCTGGAATTATTTCTGTCGCGCAGATATCTTAACGCCTTTGGATTAGTTTATGGAGACCATGGATTCTGCACCAGTTGAAGAGAGCGATCTAACCATGAATCAAAACAGTTGGTCTGTAAATCTACAAATGGCAGGCTCCCCAGACCCACGTGACTTTATGTTTAGACAAAGTGTATTTCTGATGTTGATTATTTTATTTTGCTCGCCTTTCTAGGACAATACACACTCGTATATTTTCTAGCCGCATGGTCTGGTCATGGCGATTTCGTAGACTACGACCGAGGGTTCGAGCACGAAAACGCCATCATCACCTCATATGCAGAAGAGAAGTCCCTCAACCACTTTTTCTATTACCACCTCTATATGGCTTGACCCTCAGGGCCAACTGGCATTTAATTGTAATATTCAACTCAGAAATTAACCTGTAAATTAAAGAGCTTTTTAGGTAGATCCTTAAGTAGGCTTTCATAGTCTAGTACTCAGTAGAGACTTCAATTCAAATTAATTAATCAATATTATCGCCTCAGACGGTACCACGCACAGTCCCTTAGGATGCAGAATTTTACTCCTGTTGGAAATTGAAACTCTGTGTCTAAGGTCTCCCCAAGATTGGAACAATTAATACTCTCACACATGACTCACGACCTGATGATTGATTTCCTCTTAATTAAACTTGTTTGATGCGCGAGACTCGACTATTTTTTTTTTAAATCATAGTGTATTCAGTCGAGACTCGACTAGTGCAAGGTATGGTCTGATACCCGTGTAGGCTTTCATCCACCGATTCTGACCCCATACTCATGTTATATACTGTTATGCGATTCATTGTCATTATTAGAGTATGCAACGTTGGTGGATGGTATCTAATTTGTATTTGATCTATTAAGAATACATGTATACAAGCTGTCTAGGAATCACCAAGACAGATAATTAATCAATTCAATTCATTCTATCAAGCACTTCTATTTGCACAGTACACATTATATTCTCCCGATTCATATCGATATTATTCTCTTCGTAAATCGCGCCTATATTCTTTGAGCTGTCTTACTCATCAAACCCATACCGATTTCCCAACAACTCCCAGCATATCTCGGGCTCCTGCTTTAGAGGAGAGATTTCATGCATTTATTAGCTGGGTGCATGTCACAATTTTCTTTGAAAAATCACAGCAAGTCTGATTATAACGGAGTCATTTATTGTAAGCTAGATGGCCTTTTTAAATGTTTCTTATTCTTTATTTACTGCCATCCGTAAATCATGAGAGTTGACGGGGGGCTAACTTTCATATATAATTTAATCTTCGAGAGCAGATGAAAATATGAAGGCTTTCATTTGCTATGTTGTGTCTGTCTGGGTGCCAAAACGTTGGATTATTTTATTTAGATTGGGCTAACCGGTGCGTGAGTAGCTCATGTGCAGCGCGCTTTCACAACGTCAATTACTGTAGATAAATTAAATTAAACATCTATTGGCCTAAATTTATGTATACGTAGGCTTAGTTCAATGCAAGACGAAAGGTGGAGATGTGAGATGTGCATTGTGTCTTTTGTATCTAAGAAGCCGGCAAAGACGAATTCTTCTCCTTCCAGTGGTGCCTGTGTAATCGCTCAGTATTTTCTACATATCTACGATAGTCAAGAAACATCGCGTCCGAATCGAAGTCAAAAGCAAACACAGACACATCTAGTATCGACGACTTCTCATCAATGTCGGTCTTGTCATTCTCACGAGAGTCTCCTACCCTAACCTCTTCACACACCACCCCGCCCCAACGACTGATAAAGGCGTTACTCCAATTGCAAACAAGAGCTTGCCTCATTAGTTGCCGACCATCACTCACTACAAATTTACGACGCTAAGTATAACCACAAGGAGAAAATTAAGTCATAATATACAAAGCTGAGGTCTTGGTTTATTGGGGACTGATGCTCTAATGGGGTTATACATCTTGAGGAAGGACAGGCGGCTGAGATGTGGAGCGGGAGGGGGGATAGGTCTCTGAAGGCTATACTGATACTGACATTTTCGAGGAGTTTGCAACTTTGGAACGTTGTGGAAGCCAAGACTAAGATTTTGTTTAATTAGCCAGGAGAACTTCAATTGTCGATGATTCAACGGCACTTTCCAGCGCCCTGGACGGCACAATAGAAGTTGGGCTAAGCTACCATTCAGCAGTCACGCTTTATCAAGACTTTTATCACATTTCAGCACGACCTTAGGGAAGGAGTTGGAAGGAGGCTAGAAATATAGTGGGAGAATTTCCAGAAGTACCAACAAGTCTGCAGCGCCCAGCTGGCCGGCATCTTCGAACGATTCGGAATGGTCATTATGTCTTCGAATTTAGTCCTAATGTCGGTACTAGAAGAGCTCCGCACCCAGTGGTTTTTGCGATTTTCCCCGGCTGCCATACACCCGCAAATGGCCATCGTTTCGTTGGCTGGAGAGGGGAGACAATGTGTTGGAAATCTAGACTTAGCATGTATGAAGGTTTAGATTTCTAAGGATGATCATCAAGATTAATTGAGTTGATTCGATTGAATATGATTAAGCTCATTTAGGCGAAATAAGTTTCAGTGGCTAGGAAATGCTATCTTGTTGATAATTGAGTGGCTGGTTGTTGTTAGATAACTGGGAGTTCTGTATCACTAAAGCCTCGGGGATCTTTATTTAACAATAGACTCATCTGTCTATGTGAAAATAAGTTAACGAAGTATTATATATTATTAATTCATATTGAGAAGAGAGTTCGATATCATATACAACTATCAATAAAATCTTGTCCGAAATTGTACACTTGTTCTTCTAGATATTTCCTAGAAATCCTTGAAAATTTCTAACACAATGAAGGGTTAAGGGCTCCTCTAAGTGTAGGATCGAATGAGGACTTGTAAGGGGTGGTACTGTCATGTAGAGACATGATTCATTCATGAGTTGATATTGTTCAGACGATCATGACTATATCACAACGTCATGTACAGGCACGACTCATCGTTTGTACCTGTTGTATCAACCATGACTATGTCTCAGTGATATGAGAAACATCATTGACTAGTTACTAGAAACCTAATCAAGATCCCAAACACACAACTGAGACTAAGAGAATTTTACTGAGTAAGTAATTATTCTGATGAATCTAGATCTAGAGGAACATAATCTGGTTGCTTGGCTCGAGGTTTATGAACCTGAGCATATCATGTATTATAAACTATATAGAAATCTATCTCAATCACAATCATCATCTTAATTCATGTCACCATCAATAGCTGCAAAGGACAGCTTAACCATTTCCTTATAGGTACTGTTTGAGGGGAGCTGTATGGGAAGCATAGGAGGGGACATACTACTGATATAGGTATCCTTGGCCTGTAGGCAGAGAGGACCTGCATGTCCTACATAGTCATAGACTCAGACAGGACAATAAAACGAGTTAATAATAATCAATCTAAGAACATTGTGAACATAGAGATCGTTGTATTAGCTGAATCACCAAAACAATTACTCAGCAACAGAGAGGTGCACCGCACTTAGTGCACGCCAAGTAGACTTACTTTCCAACATAAATAAATTTATTGTCTTTTTCCAGTCTAACATTATATTGGACATGCAAGTCCTCTCTACCTACGTACTGAGTACACATGTGCTAGGTATACATCTCCTCTTATGCCACTTATGTAGCTCCTCTCAAACAGTACTGTTGAAATCTAGACATATCAGACTGAACTGCATGCAATTGTTACGGGATGAACCCTTTGGGTTTGTACTTTCTGTGCCAGTACGGCAGCGATGGAGTATAGGGCCTAGCTAGCCACGGGAGCTACAAGTGTTGCAGTCTGCATGTGTTTGCTTAGCAAGATAAATTGTTATGATCGGCGCTGATCATTACAATCCCACATGTATACGGCGAGAAGTAGGAAATCTTCTTTCTCTAGATTTCAGTAATTAACTGATTTTATTCCGGACTTGCTCTGCTGTATAGCAACATCAATTGATCTGGCGATAGCAATATGGAGTAGATGAATACTATCCATCTTGGATCGCTACCAGCTTTAGTGAGGTCTTCGTTGATGATCTCAGTGATGGAAATCTTATTCCGTCACATAATCAGAACATATATTTTTTTAAAATCATTCAGGGTGTATTCAGCTATTTAGCTACTTCACATGACCGGTGCTATGTTTACATGGTGGATGACTCCTTCGATGTCAGAGACACTCATACTCTGAATTTCATTTGCAAATACCACTGAGGTATATTCACTTACACAAACAGTCGACCCGCTCGGGAGCTATTCTCAACACCTGTCAGTGATGTCCCCTACGAACGCCTGGCTCTCACTTATGGTCTGCAGAGCCGAGATTTAGTAACAAAGTCATCACTTCCACGAGAATTCCCAATCGCTTTCGCGGTCTGTACTGTCTTCATCTCTCAACACATTCCCCTATCATCATTATCATGAAGCTAACCACGATCAGATCAGATGTTAGGGTCGGAGCCCTTCCCATAACCAACCCTTGATCATTGAGGAAAGGCCATCCGGTGAGTTTCTGGAGAGTGTCCAGCACCCGAAACGGATATGGCAGATTGGATAAAGTTAGCCTCTAATGTTACAAAGAAGGGAGACATAGATGAATATGCGCACCTCATGTGGTCCCGGTGTCTAGGCCTCGCCTGCCTGGGACTGCAGGTTTTTTGAGACCTTTTCCCGCGCACGCAGTTTCCATTGCTACCATTTTTAATTTTTTAAGAAGGTTCCGTGGAAAAGGACGCCGAATTCCACGGGTGATTACTGAGCTAAATGGCTATTTATCATGGGCAATATATCAATGATCTTCCAAGTAACATGAGAGGCAAGGAGCACTGTACAAGGTGTGGCCTGGGTTAGAGAGGAGCCCAATATGCTAGATAGTTATAGACTCAAGTTTTACAATATACAACACACACAGTTTATCCTCGTTCGCAAGTACCAACCAAAGATAATTTCAAAACCTTTAATAATTGTGACTGAAACCGATATGAAAGGGAACTGTTTCACCTACTCATGTAAACTAAGCTAGTTAGTTCACATGACCTGACTATCAGTACATAGACTTCATCTGTAGCAGTAGGGCTCTCCAGTCAACATTTACAACGCAATTCCGTGTCCCACATATCTTTCTTAAGAACCGAGTTAGTGATGAATAAATCGATTTATTAACCTATATGAGGAGAAAAGAGAACTCTAGCTTCTACTAACAGATATTTATTAGAGTTGATCCTCCTTGCGAATCTACAGACCAGTGACTCGTCCTTGGGCACAATACTTCTTACCTGGCCACGTATTTCCAGGGTTCACGTAGTTGTAATAACGCTTCAGCCTCCTGACTAGTAGTGCCGTTTCGTTAAGCTTCATCTCCTCACATGAAGCCTTATTGCAAGAATTCTCAATGTTAAGCATAGTTATCTGCCCAAGCTCAAACAACGGTCAAACCGTAACAATTATCCAAGCAAGCCTTCGCCATTCATATAAGCTTATACCTCGAGAAAAATAGCTGTGTTTTGCTGGATTTGAACCAGCCATCTACTGTCTCGGATGAGATGAGTCCAAGTTATCCAGACTCTACTATGCAGACCGGCCAAGACGATGTACCACCGCACCATCCAACCATGGCGGTGTTTATAGTGTCGCCTGCGCTCTCGCAACCGAATTCTTGGCGCGCACAAAGCCCAATTCGTAAAACTTGCCAAAATTTAGAATTACACGCCCGTCGAGTTTATATCCTTCCATTGCATCGTCTTGTCAACTTGTCCTGAATACTATTGCATCAATCCTAAAGGACTGCCTCAGGGTGTGCGCCACGCTTTATTTCCTTCGTCGGGTGTAAATAACGGCGTAGGCGTATGCTCGATGACCAGCTGAGGGCAGTGAAAGTCGACAAGAGGTGTGATCATTGGAATGAGGATGGACTAGGTCGTACTTGTAGACTTGATGAGGCTTAGGTATGAGTCGGACTCTTTGGGAATGAAAATTGACGTGGTGGAGTAGTTTGAATCATTGACTCGTGGTCAAACCTCTTTGGTATTGCAAAATTTGACTGAACTTGGCTATGGGAGAATATTTTACTCCCAGGTCTGTAGAGGACACCGCGTACACTTGTTCAGTCTTACCCTCCATTACAACAGATTGTTTCTACCTAAGTGAGGTAGAGCATAGATAGATAGTTAGATGTAGATCAACACCTATTCTTCAAAGATGGAATAACTTCGTTAAACTAAAACCTTGAGTGTAGCCGATGTTACAGGCTGCTGCCTCATTTACCTGGCGCCGGATAAACTCCGGCTCCCAACAGGCGTCATTCCTAATTTATATAGGATCACGTAATTGCTTATGTAAAGTCCAGGATGCGACGCGACGCGTAGTCTTTGTTCTCTGGTAAATCCCATATAGATTATTTTCCCTTTAGATAGAAAATAAACATCATTTTCGACATATGTTTGCGAGAGGCTGGCGTACCGTCCCTTAGCAGCTGACACTTTAAACAAAGGTGAGAGATGGAAAGCGACGTGGTCCGCCTCCTAGTGTTGCTCTTCGGTATAGTTTGAGTAGCCTGATCACCTGCTCTACTCGGGAAAAAAGACGCCTCGCACCATATTGCGCGCAGAGAAAATTCAGTAGATGACGGAGGCATCTCTGGGCAGCTCGGGGTTTTTGAGATGTTTTTTTGGGTGGGCACTCGTGTATGAGCGCTAAATTGGGGTGAAGTAAAAGCCGCTTTAACTTCGTACTAGTATTTGCAAATGAAATCTGTGGTATAAGTGCTCTATTTGTATATAGAGTCACCTTTTCTGTACTTTGTCTCTAATATTGAGCCATAACTAAAAAATTCTGTGAGTATTTTAGATCTGATGCAAAAAGTTGGAAGTTTACTCTGTCCGACTCGTGCTAAGCACCCTAGAGCTATGGTATCTGCAAGCTGCTAGAACGCGTAATGTTGATTTGCCTATGCACGGACACTTGCAACTCGATCCTCCGTTAATTTAGCTATTGGCCCGTGATGCTACGATCTGCTTAGGTGCTAGGTTTGTTACACTGATCTGGTGAAGAGATTAGATTTATTGCTGCTGTCTTACTATATAGTCTCTCGGGAATATTTTATGTGGTAATTTTTGGCAGTTCATGTGTTTTAGGCTAAAATCTAATGTAATCTAATTGTGACTAGATGTAGATATCTTGTAGGAACATCTGCTTTGCTCAAAAATATATATTCTGGAAATTTTACGCTAATGGAACGCCGCAGATATAAAAGATTGTAGACCCGTCGGGCATATATTGGTCAGCACAGTGATTGTCTGGTATAATATTCAGCCACCCACTCCTTCACTTGCGCTAAAATGCTTTCTACCACTGCTTGGACACCCTCATTATTCTCAGCGTCTGAGCCCCTGAGATCGGAGCAGTGAAAGCCTCCAGGTATAACGTTGAGCGGCTGTTCTTTAGTTCCGGGGAACGGGCCATTTGGGCGAAATTCGCTGGACATTCCGCTAGTTTTCCATGGATCAAATTCTCCACTGGTCCAGATCAAACGCTGAGTATTCGTAAGATCCCACCCTTTCGTGTACTGATTGAGGTCGTAGTGGGAACCATAAGAATAATTTTCTTCGGGGGGAAAGAAAAGTGAGCATTGGCGCTCCCAGTATTGAGGATTAATGAGGCGGGAAACTAGGCTGGGCCGGGATTTCGGCGAGCCATCTTGCCAATAAAATAATGGTTCATTACATAACATCCAATTCCATTGACGGCCGCCGGTATTATTGACAGTATAATCGGTGAAAATCAGATTGAATGGGTCATAGCTGTCCATACATGCTGTTTCGAGGGGATCACTGTAGCCAAAGTTCTGACAATCTGCAGGTAGCTGGTTAGCCAGGGCTATAGTAGTGTCTAGTACTGGCTTACAACCAGGAATCAAGATCTCTCGAGACCAAGAAGCGTAGCCTGAAAGTGCTTTCTCAAGACCCACTCCATTTTCGTCTGGAGTTTCTAGGGCACCTGGTTCAACATTTTCGATCGCGTCACAGAACTTAAAAAAACCCGAGTAGCCCGAAGTGAAAGTGTTTGATTGCCATAGCCATGGTCCATTCTCCAGCATGCTGATAAAATTGAGTTAAAAATGTACAAAGCCAAGGCTTGAAAACTCACCTCATGAAGTCATCGTCGTGCTGAAGAGATTCCATTCCAAATTTCTGCTTAATTGCATATTTTTCGGACGCATTACCGTGGACCAAGAGATCATCCAGGTAATCAACAACACGTGAAATATCTGAGCTGCAATTTTTCTGCATTCCCTGTTGCACAGGCGTAAAGTACTCCCACTTTCCTTTCGTTAGCTATGCCAAAAGCTAGCTAGATTTTATTGAATCTTACATAGTCCTCGATTACTTCAACGGGTGCGCTAGAAGCATGATAAGCCCAGAACGTGTCTGGCTCTAAGATTGAGGTCCATGCTGCTAATGCTCCAGCATAGCTTCCACCCGAAAATATCCATGGTGCCTTATCAGCATTGCTGCTTCCGTCTGTGTCGAATGGTAGCTGGACTGTCTTGGCGAAATGAATGAAGTCCATTATAGACTGGTTGAGCGTCAGGTATTGGAGATTTTTGGTCGTTAAGTCTTCATACGGAGATGAGTTTCCCCAATATCGATCTAAGCCCACTTAGCCGATTATTCATATTTGATAAGTGCTGAGAAGGATGCTATCAAATAGATCCAATTCACTTACGCTCCACTATTACTACTGCACCTGCAATTTCCTGAGCCAGCCGACCAGTTATAGTATGGTTGGTGAGAAAGCCTGTATAAGCTGTTGCCGCTGTTTCACCAGGTGTAAAAAGGACAACCTATTTCTCGGTCAATTATGTGGCTCATCAATTCCAGCTAGGACACTCATGACAAACCGGACTACCTGGCCCGGCCCAACTTTCTGCATTCCACCAGTATTGCATGTCGAACATGCCTTTTCCAGGATCATTGTGATCAAGCCATTGTGAAAAGACTGCCGTGCCGACTTTGGACGTTTTCGTCAATGCCGAGATACCGACATGTGGAGAGAGCTCTTCTATCGACAATTTTGGTGGTATCAACTGACCCAACCTCCGGAACTCAATGGCACAGCAAAACTGAAGGTACACTGCTAGAGCAAGAGAACCTGTGAAAATTTTCATTTCAAGCCTTAATGATAACGAGTAGTTCTTTACAGTGGGAAAGTAGCCGATTTCGAAAAGTAAGTTCTGATTTTTAGGTGGCTTCCATATTTCATATTTGAAGTCTGAGCTGGGCACTGCAGTTGGACCCTCGCGGTGTCTAGTTGGAGATTGCAAGATGAACTTAACGGTGAAAGTACAGTAGACGACGCAATGGTTCAATTTAGTGAGGTTGCTTGGAGCTACCTGTAGGACTTAACCTTGAATGGTAATAATACCGACGATCGCCTATTACCCTCGCATAGCTTTGGAGGGTGAGACAAATGAACGTTTACGACCAACTGAAAATGATGGTGATGATGTAGTTTATCTAAGGAAAACACCAATAGGACGAAGTATTGAATTGAGATAGCCTAACCCTTGGATTTTAATTTCAGAAATTGAAGGTCCATGGCAAAATAACCATCCACTGTATCCTAGACTAGCCCATAAAACAATGTTCTCCCCGAGATAAGTTCGGGGAAGTTTCGCAGAACAAAATAATTAGCCTACGACTCAATACCTCCCACCTCACCAAACAAGCTCGGCCCTGGCGAAAGCATAATTAAATTTCCAAGTACCAAGCTGAGAAAAACGAATTCTTCACTTTCCCAATGTGTTGATGTAACCGCTCAGTATGCTTAGCATATCTGGGATGGTCAAGTAGTGTTGTAGTTTGCCTCCTGGCTGTCATGTCCCCAAATTAGAGTTTAGGTAGCCCGAACATCTACCTCACTCGAAAATAGGAGGACTGTGAGGCAATATCTCTAGCGGCGACTGTGAAGTGGCTAAGGATATGGTACAGAGCCATGGGGTTGGATTAGGATTCTGACGGCGGTCTGGCGTCATGGAGGCAATGATGACTTAGTAAATACTATTCGCTTAATCTCGCACACTAAAATTTGTGTAATTCGCAGACAGACCTGTGTTATTTAGTAGTATCAAATTTTAAACCTGGAGTTCCTGCTTGCCATATTCTACGTGCTATAACAGTGGCCATGTGCAGGATGGCAAAGTTTTTTTTTTTGCATCCGGTTTTAATTGTGTATGCAGCTATCTAGTTATGACACAAAATCAAAGAAAAGTACAGAAAAGATGACTCAATTACAAGATGAGCACTCATGCCTCGGATTTCATTTGCAAGTACTATTGCGAAGGTATTCCGGCTTTTTCTTCACGCCAAGTCAACACTCATCCGTGAATAACCAACTAGGGGGACGTCTCAAAAACCCTGAGTTATCCAGGCATTCCTCCACCATCTTTCAACTTTTCTTCGCGCGAAATGTGGTCTTTGGTGTCTCCTTCCCAAGTGAAGTAGGTGCCCAGGCTACTCAGACTATACCAGAGAACACCACCAGGAGGTGGACCACAACACCTTCTATCGTTTGCTTGTTTTTAAAGTGTCGGCTGCACTCTCGCAATCGAAGTCTTGGCGCGTACAAAGCTCAATTCGTAAAACTCTTTCCAAAATTCGGAATTTCACGCCCGTCGAGTTTATATCCTTCCATTGCATCGTCTTGTCAACTTGTCCTGATCCCTCTCACGCCCATTCCAAATGATAGTCTCCCAGATTTGTGCGCCACGCTTTGCCTCCTCCGTTGGGTGTAAATATCGGCGTGGGCATGTATTTGGTGACCAGCTGAGGCCAGAGAAAGTCGACGAGAGGTGTGATCATTGGAATTAGGATGTAATAGGTCGTACTTGTAGACTTGATGAGACTTGGATAAGATTCAGACTCGTTGGGAGTGAAAACTTGACGTGGTGGAGTAATTTTAATCATTACCTCATCGGCCAACTTGTTCGATATTACGAAATTTGACTGAATCTGTCTCTGGGAGGATGTTTCACACCCAGGTTCGTTCAGGTCACCGCGTACAGGTGTCCAGTCTTGCCTTCCGTTGTGATGGCTCAGTTGAGTTGTTAGGAGATAGGGGAACGGAGATTGGGCTGCCACACTAGGAAAGGGTGGGAAAACCCAGCTGGTGCACAGACGCTGTTCATGTACTCTACAATCTCTTCACCTGTCGAACTTATTGATTTAATCTATCCAAATAATATGTCACGGATTCTAGGACAGTTGCTGGAGCAATTATGTGGTTGATGGTAGTAGATAATAATTCTAAAGAGAGAACTACTACAAGATCTATCTACACATGTAAATATATAAAAGAGCCTCATATTCTACGACGTCAATGCACTATCAATTGAGGAGGTTGTGTCCGATCTCGTATATTCCCAGCCAATAGCTTCTCACCGAAAAGTGGTGCCATGTTGAGCTGCACTGTTGAATCGGATGCTATTCAGATTCCGATGCTCCGATATTAGATCGATCGATCGTGCGCACCCTAAATCGGACCAAGCCTATGTTAGCCAACATAGGCTACAGGAACCAGCCGTCACATAATATCACACTTCACATCATCCATTAGATGATATTACCAATTGTCGGGATGCACATCTAGCATCACCTTCATAGATCACCATCGTCAGTAAGAGTTCACATTTGATACCTACTGAAACCCATTTGGCCACAGTGATACGCACTCAGTGTCCATCGTGCCGTCACCCAGCGTGAGCGCGCCATCTCCGCAACTCACCATTGCACACGAGCCCGTGTAACTCCACCGACGGACAGCAGAGACATAATTTGTTGAAATTATGGAGTTCAGAGATGAGTCAGATGATGCTTAATGGAAGTAATTGATGAAGGGTTTGGTTGTTGAGTTTTCTATGATTTCTGTGTTGGGATACACTATGTCGATCCTACTGGGCTCGATAATTAGTAGTCCCGACCGACTGGTGTTTGGCGAACGGAGATTGCGTATACCCTGTGCTAGCGTTGTTTACTGCTGTTAATAGGAGATCCCGCACGGGCTATCTATTGGGGTTAAAAGGAGTCTGGTACCTGTGTTTAATAGAGTAGTCGAATTGACATCCTTTTATCCTTCATTATTGCATAAGCTTCCCTTTACCAATAAAGTCCACAAACTAAGTAGTGGGCTATACATTTCAATAGGTTATGAGACTCGGTGTCACATGCATTGAAGTAGTAAAAGGAAACGACTCCAGGGACCGTGAATAATTCAATCCCTGAGCCGACTTCTCCGGTGCAACACGAAAGCACAAGCAGTCAGTCCATCGACCTTTTCTCAGGCGCCTTCAGCACAAGATTAGGAACGTGTCTAACAAGACATATTACAAGAAATCAACCCCAAGGCATCCGACCTTAAAGAAAATGTCGGAAGAAACTAGCTGGGGTATACCTATCCTAAACGGAAAAAACCATGACTCTTGGTTTCGCCACTATCAGGTTAAACTAAGAGGTAGAGGGGTGTACTACGTGGTCACGAAAACATTGGACGAAGCGTGTCCAATCGTATCTTCCATCGGAAATACTCAGAAAATTGTTGATCCTATACTCCACAACGAAAAAAGGGAGAAGTACTTTCGAGATGAGGGAACCGCAATCGATTTTATGTTCAAATCCCTTTCTCTCGATGACCAAGCCCTGTACGACGAACATGATTCCGCCTTCAGTCTTTGGGCCTATTTACGCTCTAAATACCAGCAGATTGATTCGACCACCGCAAATGAGTACATGACGCTCATTCAGAATTTCTCATTTGACGACATGACTATTATTCAAGGATGGGATAAATTAAAGGAATACCGGCGCAAGTTATGCGCAGCTGATATTAGATCAAAAAATGCGTATCAAGATGAAGCCCTTCTTTTAATCTTGATTCGTTCTCTTCCCATTGAGTATGTCGCAACAATTGATACCCTTGATGCGATGACAGATCTTTCGGTAGAAGAAAAGTTAAAGCGGCTTCAAACCAAGGAGAGTCGCCTAATAGCTAGCCAGCGTAATGAAAATGCTTTTCCTAGCTATCCTACAACAGAAAACAGGCACATCTCATCGAAAGGGTCGCGCACAACTTTAGAGCCCGGTGAAGATTCAGGATATTCTCCACCATGCTACTTATGTGGAAGGAGACATTTTATCAAGGCCTGTCCGTTCATGGAGATCGCACAAGACGCTGTACATGAGTACATTAAGAAAACCAAATCATTTCGCAGTACACCAAAGAATAAAAAATCAGGTCAATCACTCTCTCGAACCCGTTCTCCGTCACAAATTCGACCCTCAGCTAACGTGGAGAAGAGACTTGGATTCAAGAGCAAGGATAAGGCGTATGAAGCCTGTACTTATTCCGATGTGGAATCTGAAGGTGATTTGGATTTAGACTCTGATAGTCCAACTCACGAACATGCTCAGATCTCTAGAGCACTTATCAGTAAGGCTATTCCATCCACTTGGGCCAGTGATACCGGCGCCTCTGCACACATGTCTGACAATCTTTCTCTTTTCAGGTCGCTAAAACATATTCCACGGCGCACTATAATGGTTGGAGGAGGAAAATTATATTCACAAATGAAGGGCGATGTGAAGATGACATGTGAAGATGGATCTTTTATGTACCTACGAGATGTGCTTTATGTACCATTATTAGGAATAAACTTGATGTCGAGTAGACAAGTCTGCCGTCATGGGGGTATGAAAGGTGCTTTTGATGAGGGCCACATGTATTTCAGAAAAAATAATCGCACAGTTATAACCGCCACTATGCGTAATGGGCTTTATATTGTATCTCACATCGACAATAATGATCATGACCTAGCTTATAATTCGACGAATCTCGACCAAAGTACCAATGAAATGATTGTTGACGAGGAGATTGTGGAAGATAATGAGCTTACAAGTAAGGAAAAAGAAAGATACATCCTATATCATCGACGATTTGCCCATCTTGGTCCCCAAAAGCTTAGGAACTTACACTTAGTCACAAATCTCTCACGTCCGATCAAAGTTCCTAGTTCCAGAGAAGAGCCCGTTTGTGAGACTTGCTTGTTAACGAAAATGAGAAATCGTACTTCTAAGAAACTATCGCCTTGGAAGCTAACAAAATTAGCCTTAATCCATTTTGATATAGCCGGTCCATTTCCACCGTCCATTCGGGGAAATAAATATTTTATAATGATACTGGACAACATTTCCAGAAAGTTATGGGCTTTGTGTTGTAAAACAAAGAGTGAGGCATTTTCCACTCTTGACCAGTGGAAAACTACTGTCCAGCTACAATTAGGTGAAAAAATAAAAG